GTCGTCGTCGTCGTTGTTGTTGTAGTTGTCGACGCTGTCGTCTGCAATGGCACCCATGCTACTAGTACTGGGAAGAAGATGAGCTGTAACAGTCTGTTTAGTGCTTGTCTTGAACTGAATGCTAGTAAATACTAGTAAGTAGCACTGCATGGCAACAGCCGCAGCAGAAGCGTCAGCAGCGGCAGGAGCAGCAGGAGTGGAAGACAGCAGCAGCAGTGCAAGTCAGCGGGGCAGGATGAAGGGGACGGCAATTATACTGGCAAGGCCAGGGCATGCAGCTATCGAGTCTCGTGAAAACCACCCGACCGCAGGTCACAAGCCACTGACCTTTAAAGCCACCAAACACTTAACCGCTATACTGCAACACCCCCAAGCCCGAAGCACTCAGTGAGGCACAGAAGCGTTTCACACCTACTTGGGAAGGCTTCTGCTCCGCAACAGTGCATCTCCCTAAAGAGTTGAACCAACAGCACAAGTCGGTTTGGGGCTGAGCGAGCGTATGTCCAGGGTTAAGGAGCTTCGAGCTGATCGATCAGGCCACACTGACGTTCAGCCGAACTTCCGAACACTTCCGAGGATTGGAACTCTGAGCTCGGAACCCTAACGGGGAAGTAGTGAACATCGCGATGGTCCAGGGCTCGCTGCACCTGCGGTCGATCACTCGTGGTCCCAGCCCCGATGAGAAAGCCTGCAAAGCTGGAAATCTGAAGATTGCAGGTGTCTGAAGCTAGGCACCAGTATTCGGAGAAGGACCTAGAAGAGCACCGAATCGCTGACCAGGATAAAACGTTGCAGCAACAGAGGGCTGAAGATTGAAGCACTCCTGGCAGCACGGGGTCTTTGCAGGAGCGCCTGCAGCATCGTTGCCTCGGGCGGCCTCATCTTACATTGAAGCTCCGTTGCAAATATTCCCAAACGTGATTACCCTCAAGCTCCTGAAGGCCCTGATACAGCCAATGTCGAAAAAAATCATTGGTGACTAGGGACAATGCGTCCATCACTAGCTCGCAATAGTGTCTGGACCGAAAGGGCATGAGTGAGGACCTTTAGGCCAGTAACAGAAGAATGTCAACCAAACACAGGACTCAGTACACCGAGCCGCATCACAGCATCGTGTGGCAGAACGGGGCAAAGATCGAGGGCCACCTGCAGGATGTGGTTCGTGTATGTATGTGTGTGTGTGAGTGAGTGAGTGAGTGAGTGAGTGAGTGAGTGAGTGAGTGAGTGAGTGAGTGAGTGCGTGAGTGAATGAGTGAGTGAGTGTGCGTGCGTGCGTGTGTGTGCGTGTGTGCGTGTGTGTGCGTGTGTGCGTGTGTGCGTGTGTGCGTGTGTGCGTGTGCGCGTGCGTGTGTGCGTGTGCGCGTGCGTGTGTGCGTGTGTGCGTGTGTGCGTGGGTGCGTGTGTGGGTGGGTGTGTGTGTGTGTGCGTGTGCGTGTGCGTGTGCGTGCGCGTGCGCGTGCGCGTGCGCGTGGGCGTGCGCGTGCGCGTGCGCGTGCGCGTGCGCGTGCGTGTGTGCGTGCGCGCGTGTGCGCTTTCGTCATCTCCGTGGTGTGGCGAGAAAGGGCTTGGAAGTGCAAAGCCAGAAAGGCATCTAACCCAACGCTCGATCTCGTCCTTTTTCGTAGGACTGACAAACAAGGGAGGATAAATTCAACCCGAGTCCCTGCCACCATGAGGATTGCCTCACTGCACAGATGCAGACAAATAGTCAGCGCTGGCAGAGACCACGGTAGGTAGCAAGACTGTCTTTGTCCCGGCGTTAGCCATCTGTTCCGACACTTCCGAACTCACTGGTTCATTCACTACATATGCTCTAAAAATAAAACCCGTGTTAAACAGGAAACTTCTGGAGACGAGCTTTCAGCAAGGCCAAGGGCACTTGCAAGAACTGCGAAGAAGAAGCCCATCTGACAAATCGGAAGACCGTGCCTGCTCCTCCACTATGGGAGCCCGCTGGAAGATGCGACATGGGAGACGCCGCGAGTCCGCATCAAGCGAACCCCGGCAACTCTTCAAGCCATGCTGCCGTCGTGGGTCAAAGCTGTGTGTCAGTGCTGCCTTCGAAAAGATCCACTGCTGCTTCGGCTCATCACAGACTCATGCACTCGACCCTGGAAACCTCTGCTTTTTGCGGCTTCGCATCGGGCTGTTTCCGGGCCAAGGTCAGACTTCTACAGACTGAGAGTCTTGAGGCGCAGCCCAGGCTCTCGCTATCACCACATTGCAGGAGGCTGCGACACCAAGGCTTGACGTGCGCTAGCACAATGACGCATCGGACAACACAGAGGGCTCCCTCGAAGTGCCATTGATCTCGGCCATGTCGATGCCTAATGGTCATAAGCCGATTACCGCTTCCTCTTCCACGATGCTACAGGAGCGATGTCTTCTTTCCTTCATCGTACTGAGTTGAGGTGGGCAGCAAACAACACTCATGGATTCTCGGATGGCCATTTGTTGTAGCACCCGAGATTCCATGATTGCTCACCAAGGCAGCTCACTGAACTGAAAGCAGCATACCTGGCCTAAACCTAAACAAAGCCCACAGCACAGACCCTCCGTCCCACAAGACCTGTCCTCAGCATGGCAGCACCTGTCCCGTCCCCCTTGCCGTTTCGAGCAATATGAGGCCACGTCCTCAGTGCTGTTCATGAACACGGAGACATCTGATCTTCCACAACCGTCTCATGCACAAGCTGTGCCGATGGCCGCCTCGGACCCAAACAGCTACAGCTGAACGGGACTTCACTGTTACCACTGCTTGGCCTAGCCAGCTGCAGGAACATGCCGGTGTCCTAGAACTGAGCTGGAGCCTTTTAGGACACTGGTTTGCGATGGAAGCACGCCTAAATCTCGTCAAACGTCGTTGTGCAAGACAGGTGAAACTGCACAGGAATCTGTGCGGCACTGCTCCCGATCCCAGACACCGTTCGTCTATCCGTCTTCAACCGCTAAGTCGCGAGAGATTGGGCTGTGCGGGCAAGCACAAGATGCGCCGGGTCTGCAACAGGTTACTACGCTGTCCATCAAGCAGGCGTAGTTTTAACGCTGCTTGACAAAAGCAATCAACACAGGCGTTTAGCCTGGTCGCGAAGCTGAGGCAATACGCTGATAACGTAACGCTGAAATTTTGAAAGATCTATCCTACTTTGTCCAAAGCCAACCAGTCCAGGTCTTCACCAAAGACTGAATTACATGCTCTCTCTCTCTTCAAGCCGTGGCTCTGCCATGGCCTTGCCACCGCACGAAAAAGGGGCGCAACAAGACTTCAAGAGAGGAAGTTGGGGCAACGCGATGCTACGATGCTACGAGTGCGACTTTAAAGCCAGATCCCTCCGAGGCATTGACCGTGCTAAGGTTTGGCCTGCCCACAAGAAAACTCAGCTCTACTTCGCCCTGAGACGGAGCACTTAAAAGCCATGCCTTCGCCTTGGGATCGGCTGCAGGCGCAGCCTCGCAACCAAGCTGAATCTCACAATCAAAGTTGCGGACATCCACCGAAGGGCCTTAGCCTTCGGATCCCCAGCCGGCGCGGCCTTTCCATGCGCAAGACTTCTGCAACCGCGCTCCGGCAAGACTCAAGGCGGGCATCTAGGTGGCTTTGGGATGCCTTCGCCTTGGGCTCGGCAGCAAATGCCTGACAACAGGCGAAGCGGAACGCGTCCGAAACAGTTGACAAGCCATAACAAGCCAGGCCTTCGCCTTTGGATGCGCAGCCTGTGCAGCTGCAGGCGCAGCCTCTTCTCGCACGTTGTACGCTCGACAAGACGTCGCACATGACACATCTCCGACGGCCTTCGCCTTGGGATCTGCGGGCTGCGGAGCCTGACCGAAAGCTCAGCCCACGCGGTGTCGGCACAGCAATCGCATCTCGTCCCTGACAGGCCTTGGCCTTCGGAGCCGCCGGCGTCGCTGCCGGCGCCGATTCCTCGGAAGCTGAAAGATCTGAAAGCGAAAGCAATGGCCACAGGCCTAGGCTTTCCCTTTTGGGGCTCCAGCGACTGCAGACCCGTAGACGGTGGGGGGCGCTCCGTGCGGCTTGCCCTTTGCCTTGGCCTTTGGCTTCGGCAAAGACCGGAGGAAGGACTCCGGTGGTGAAG